TAATATATTTGCGAAGGTCGCCACCTCTTGCATAAGTAATTATTCTCGAATATTCTTTTTTAATTATTCCTTAATATTTAATATTATCACCATAAGAGCGGTCTGAATCTATTTTTGAAATGATTTGATTGTGCTAGAAACAAAAAAGAAACTTTTACTTTAAATATTCCCTTTTTCTTTGAATTGTGCAATGATTTCAGCACAATTTCCTTTTTTCTCCATCGGTTAAATTTATTTCTTCATTATCTCACTTTTTGTCTAATGGATCATCCAACCAGATTGCTTTATAATTTATAAGTTTTCCCAGAATCTCCTTTTGCGAGATATTCAACATTTGAAAATCTTTAAAAAGTAATCCATTCAAGTATTTGATCTTTTGAATTTTGTTGTATCTTTTATTACGTTAGATAATTTATCATTATAAATTTGCTTGAAACAATCCATTTTCTTGACAATCAGCAAATTTACTACAATCATGAATATTCGCTTCCATCTTTTATAAAATGCGTTTATATCGATAATTAAACATGAATTGATAATCAAACGAACGAACAAGCAAGACAATTATATGAGATTCAAAGTCGTGACAAAAAAACTTATATTTGTGTTTATAATTATATCGATATGTTGTTTTTTTATTTTCCATTTGTGGACGAATCGTTTCTGTCGGCCGCACGAACGGTACACACCTCACCTAATAAACTCGGTGAATGTTTTGAACATTGTCAAAGGCAATTTAAAGTCCAAACTGATGAAAGAAACGACGTATATGAGTTGCATGTACCGAACAAACGATTTGGTTGCACGAAAGTACGGCTATTTCCTCATGTCATAAAATAAAATTATGCCTTCTAACGCTAGAATTTTTTGAGTAGTATTTAGAGTACACTCACACACACACACGCACACACACACACACACACAATGACTCTCGGTATAACGGATGAGTCACTGTGTTAAAATTTGTATTATACTGATCTATGACATCTTTTTAATCTTCATCTGATTTCATTTTAATCTTATTAATAAGCATATCAACCAAAACATATGATATTTGTAAATAAACAAGCAAACGCATCGAGGACCCGAATACAAGACTTATCGTTTGCATCTCAATGGAGAGATATTTGTGCATTGGTGATTCCTAATCGAATTCCTTTTCAATCCTTTGGTCAATTCAGCCATGTGAGCTGGCAATTCAAAAAGCAAGATCATATGTGTGCGTGCATGCTTCCCAATAAACAAAGATACGCCACATGAATTGTTAATCTATTAATATATATTCGATATATGACACAAAAACCTGCAACACACAGACACATACAGATTCTACATGTATATGCAGAATTTAGATAGCAGACAAAGAAAAGACAGTAAATTAAAACCCATAAACAGCTTTATTAAAAACGAAATGCGTAGGAGCGAAAACAAAAAATGCGCCAAATGACTTTATTTCTTTTATCGTAAATGAGAATCAGGTGTTATCCTATATTCGGTCTCTTGTATCATTCTAGAAGATTTGAATTCGAGGGGTGAAATTCAAAGAAAAATTATCGTTATCATGTATGTGCCTGTAATTAATTTGGTTAAACATAAATGTAAATTCTAAATAATCAATTTCACTATCGCTATAGGTGATATAAAAAAGGAAACACAATCTTTACAATCGCTATTAGCCCCTTGCTTTTCTCGTACAATCGATTAACCTGAACTCAACATTACACAGCAAACCTCTATCTGTAAACCCTGTCGGTTATTCTCGGAGAATTCAAAATATTTCAAAATCCTTAATCAGTGGTAATTTGATAAAAAGCTTTCTCGAGAAAAAGAACTATTACGATATTACTTAACGTGGTAATAGTAATGTCAAAAAAACTTTATTTCAAACTCGCGTAGGTGGATAACTTTAATGTGGTGAAAACCGAACAATTCTGTTTGGACATACTATTCAAATCTTTATTTTTTCATTTTACGTATACCACTCCAAAAACTTCGCCTCATGTGATTGATCCTATGAACAAAAAGTTCCTGCAATGAAAGAATACATGGACTAGTAGAAATCTGGGTACCTTAGTATGTACATGTACATGTACATGCATACTGGTATCAAAAATGTTGTTTACTCGTGCCAAATATATTTGTATGCATTCTCTATGGTATTTGTTACGCCGCTGTGTAATTTTGTGTATGGATCGAATTTCTACTTCTTGATTTTTCACTGAAGGATTCATCTTTTAAGACCAAGAAAAGTTATTATTATTCCAATCACATGACGAATTAGTTTTCCACGAAAATCATTCATGGGAAAAAAATCTCCATAGTCGAATTTGTTTGTGGCTATGTTTACTAAGAACAATGATACTAATGATCATCTATGTGTTGTGTCTTATCTGAAATTGTATTAGCGTTAGTGTTAGAGTTATATTAAAAAAATGACGATGATTTAAACTTTGGGGGTATTAATTACTCACGTGCGTACTTTACTATAACACAAACTGACCATTGTTTCGTGTTTGTGTTAAAATGTGAAACTGAATATGCATGTTGACAGAAATTTTTCCCCCTTAAAAAAAAAAGATCAAACGAGCATTTCATTTCTATTCGCCTAACTAATTTTTGGATGTTCATTCAATATCCAATGCGATGACATTTAGAGTTATAAGAAGACAGTGATCGATATTAATAGGAGAGCTTTCGGTGTCACTTTTCCTTTCTCTTCTGTTTCTCCACAGACTGCTATTATTAGTTACTTCTATACATGTACTTGTATTAAATGCGTGTATGTGAAATAATGCGTGTTTGTGAAATATGAGAAATGTGTGTATGTAAGCTAATGAAATGTAAATTTCTTTTATCCTTTAAAAAAACGAGTGGTTTAAGGGAATATCTTCTTTCTACCCACGTAAATCTTTTCCATATAATAAGTTTTATTTAATCGAACAAATTAATGTAAAAGAAGTGCATGTAGGTTAAATGGCTTTTCCTGTGCTGTATTCGGATATAAAGAGCTTATCAGGTAAAACATATCGACCCCACGGTATTAGTCTCAAAAGAGATTAGACCAAATTTCACGGTTCAATAAAGTACTGAAGAAATGGCGCGTGCGCAAGAGAGTATTCTAATACTTACCTTAATTATCTACCATTCGTCAATTGCATTTCTTTTATTCATCCAACTCCCCTCACTTGACAAATGAAAAAAAATAAGACTATGCCTGAGAGGGTGAAATGAAAAAAAAATTTTGGTGCTGCCGTGCTTTATACGTTTATTGAAACTAGTTTAACTAATAGAAAATAAGTGTGACAGACATCCGGCTACATGTAAAGTATCAAACTTTAATCACGCTATTAACGGCGATGGCGATACCAAAAACGTGATAATTATTTTTGTTTTTCGATATGACTTTATTGGGAAGCCAAAGCGTTCCCGCCCCTTATTTTATTACTATCAGATTATCATTGTCTGTGTGTAATTTCACTTCGACAAATTGATATTTTTTTTTACATAATCATATCTTCCACCATAATGCATTATATAATTTTCTGGTTGGGGTTCTCTTACGGCCGACCAAAGGAATTTCGTTTTGATTTCTACAGGATACTCTATAATTAAGATGTGTAACATTTACCAGACTCTGTGAAATAGTGACTACAGTAACATCAGCAATAACGAACGACACAAGCACATGTATCCCGTTTTGTGGTGCGGTGTAAGGAAGAGAGGGGCGAAGCTGGCATGATGACGATAACGAAGATGCACGTTTTTTCCTTATTCTTTCCGGCGTAATAATAATAATAATGCATTGTTGATATGCGACCCTGGTCTTTAATGATATTTTTATCATGCGAATATAATAATAATAATCAAATACATAAACAATACGATATAGCAAACACCGTTAGTAGACAACTGTTCTAATTAAATGCGATAATAAGTATCCATGGACAAAAGAGCTGAGATAGGTTCATATAAGAATATAAGAAATTAATATCTTGAAACATGCGCGTATACATACACACAATAAATCCCCTCGTTTTCACTGTATTCTATCGATTCCTTTATTCTGTTTTATATCATAATAATAATAATAATAAATAATAATTATTATTTACATGTATATCGTTATCGTTCGTGTATCATACGATAATAATAATAATAATAATATGTCGGTTAACCATCCAGCCAACACCGATAACTGCGGCCCTTTATGTGTGTTGCCTAATTAATTTTATTAGTTGGTCACTAATTTCCTTTCACGGACTCTAAATTGAACAAACCAACGTCAATTCTTATTTAACTTTTCATTCATATAATAAACAGACGCAATCGTGCTGCACATTTTATATTATATGCGTTTTATTGAGAGTATTGGATAACGTTAATTATTGTTTATTTATTTTTCCGATTATTATAATAATCATATTAAATATATAGTATTTTATCGTTATTATTATTATCCGTAATATACTATTTTAACGTGGGCATTTTATTCCAATTATTATATAATGTATATTATCACTGGTTTTTCTATAAAAAGCCAAGGCATTTGTGACTAGATGCTTTTGTCTCTTAGGCAACATTCTCATTTTGTTACCGTTACGTATTTAACATACTCATTGTATTCATCTCATTTGTGAAATCGTCATTGTCTTCATTTACTTTCTGACTGGAGGAATAACGAAATAACTAGCATAAATAAATAAAGACACGAACACACGCACACGAACACATATATAATACAAAAAGGAAAAATTCTTTATTCTTATCTTTTTCACGAACGTTATATTATTATTGTCATGCCTTCTTGCAATATCAACAACAACGACAACGACAACAACGGCAACCATAACAACAACAATAATAATAAATCTTCTTCAGTAAATATAATGACAGGAAACCAGCAACACCAGAAATTTGGCTTTGGATTTGATAGTAATAATAATAATAATACTAATAATACTACTAATAATACTGATGGTGACAACAATAACAGTCGTAGTATGTCGCAGCCTAATAATTACTACCGCCGCAAAACTCCAATACAAATCGACGACGACTTTGTATTGAACACTTTTGCGACTCGGGAAGGACTTTTAGCACAATACGAGGCAATATTGGCGTATGAACGAAATCAGATAATGAAACAACGACAACAAGAGGAGCAACAAAACCAACAGAGAACAGCATCAATAACTCCCTCAGGATTCTTGGAGACCAATGCACGATTTTGGGAGTTTAAGATCGAGAACGAAACGACAACGTACGTTCGGTTCGGTAAAATAGAACCGGACGGAACATTGAAAGAACGCGCGACGCAAATACAACATCATAGGTCACCAGATGATGCGCGGCAGTTTGTCGAGAAATTGATTGATGATAAAATTAAGGCTGGTTATGTGGGGTGGGCGGAATGGTAAACCATTATTGGGGCATACATTAAAAATAATGTGACATTTTGAACAATATTTATCCTTATTGATCACCTATGCATGCGAATACAACCATCACTTTATGACTAAATAGACATGAGAGCGAAAAATCATTCTGTGAAAGATGTAAATTATTATTCTCCCCCTTTTTTTCTTGAAAGCCAATCAAATTGGTCATTATATACACAAACATACTATATAAATATTTTACTCCACCCATTTATACATATAAATACTTTATCACACAACCATCATAACTATAAATAGCATAGCATATATAAAACGCATCTTTTTGTACATAATTATTATTTACTTGTTATTTACAGCTGAAAGATTGCATTTTTCTAGACTCTTTTCGCTCATCTACTTTCCCAAACTTTTCGATAAGAAAACACCTCTATTACAATGATAACGAAAGTTTATTCACATCAATAAAAATAAAAATTACTATGATTAAAATCTTTTTCATTATGTCTCTTTTTCATAATGTAAAAAATTAGCCGGATTTTTTTATTCAATCATAAAATACGCAATCATGGTTACTAAAATAAAAACAAAAAACAAACATAAATAATTTAAATCAAAAAAAATTTGAAATTAAAAAAATTAATAAATTGAGTCCACATAATGACATGTAGTATTCTAACGCGCGTGTTTGTAGTTGACATTGAAAAGTCGTGAATCATCGGAGGATTTATTCCTTAACTTCACATACATTTTTGACGCACAATTATTCAACGTCTATTAGAAATTAGCCTTAATCTCCTTTGCCTTTTAGATTCTATGCTGGTTGAATATTCACATCATCGTGATGATCTCATCACGAGGAAAAATACTGTTAGCGTTAGACAATGACTAAATGTTTGTTTTTTATGATCATTGTTGTTATCAATTATCGTTATCGTTATTGTTGCAACAAAAATGCCGGCCCATTGTTATAGATCAGCAACAAAAAAAAAATGACGATTTTTTTTGCAAAAAATAAAAAAAAGTGTAAATGGAAATCTTTGGAAACAATCGTCGCTGGCTTTCATCATCAGCATCATTTTTTATCGTTCACCTGCTTTCAAGCATTATTAATCTTTGTCGCATCGAACCGCAGACATCGTCACGTCGTCTACGATAATAATAGAATTCATTCATTCATTTTTCTTACCGTACCATCAAATTAACGAGGAAACAGGCAAAAAGATCCACCATACTTGACTTATGATGTCATACAGCTCAAAAAAGATAATAAGGAATAATAGAGTAGAAAAAAGAATACAACATGATGCACATGTATGCAATAGAATGTCATAAGGTAAACCCGAGAACATGTGCACAAGAGAAGAACTTGGATTACAAGATTGGCGTATTTTATCGGCAATTTCAAAAATGCATTTTTTTGGATGTGCGCTTTTTTTCGTGCTTGTGTTGTCTCACACGGAATGAAAAAATATGTATCAGAATAAAATTGCCCATGTTTTTTGTCGATAAGGGAGGGATGGCAAAATATCGAAAAAAACAAGTTGGCGCTTTTTTTGTTATTATGAATTTTATGGGCTAGCATTTTTGTTTATTCTCTTGTATCATTAGGAGAATTGTGGCCAAAAAACATGTTCCAAAAAAATAAAAATAATGGGGCAAAGGGGCTTAGATAGCTTAATTATAATGGATACACACATCAATGATTTTCTTTTTTTAGTTCAAAGGATTGATCCTTTCAAACGAACATAAGGGTTTGATGTAATGATACTTGTCATTTCATCTCTCGTTTGCGCTCTCTCTCTCGGACTGTAGTTCCGATTTAACTAAAAATATTTTCATTGTCTCCTTCCTTGTTTCGGATTTCAATATTAAATGTGAGATACAGTATATGCCCATTCAATTCTATGTCATAGAAGCTAAACAAAAAGCATTGTTAAAATTAAAATTTCCTATTTAAGTCTAATAGGAAAGAGAAACTGGATTTCTTTATAGAATAAAGGTTGCATTTTTTATATTCTTGGGGTTTTGAAAAGGGGGTTTCGAGGTTTTCAAGCAGTTGAATAGACTTTGTGGTCAAAGTTATTTTTAGCAGAGGTGTTAAAAACTTCGCATGAATTGTTTTACTATTGCAGCTTGTGAATTGATTAATAATCATCGCTCGTTTAATACATCTTGTTATTTTGTTACCATCGTTAATTTTTATTGATATTTGAATATTGAATTCTCTGAGTGAACTTCACAGATCAATGAAGTTAGTTACATGTATTCTGCCGATCTCGTACCAAGTCTTTTGATGCCCGATATTTATTGAAAAGATTTATACATACAAAATAATTTACCGTATATTAAATACACGTATTAAGTGCGGTTAGTGGGTGATTAGCCGATCGCTTTAACCTCGGTCAAAAGGTTTGACACAATATGCTGTGTTCACAAACTTGAAATTTATCATTTATCGTTATTCGTGTCGTGCATGTGTTGCCTTTTATTTTTTTGATGTAAACAAAAACAGTACCGATACCTTTTTGTGATCGGACATTTTAGTTGCCTAAATCCGGGTTATAAAATTTGATAGCTTAAAAATAAAGTATTTTTATCGTCATACACAACCAATAATATACTTAATCTAAACTTAAACATGCATACCGATATATATCCATTGGCGTAAAAAGATCTTTGTGACCAATAAAACTTCGATACCTAGCTTTACTGTTGGTCCATGCAGGGTCAAAAAATCATTTTCATGAGAAGAATGTTCCATGTGGTCGTTTCCTGTGAAATGGGTGGTGAAAAGGCAATTTGCTCTTTTCGAAAAGAATGGGAAAAAATATTAGTGGTGAATAACAATTTCTGTTGCATTAAACTTGTATGGTTATTAATTTTTTCTTTATTAGTTTCTGAGATAAAGTTCGATTGGTATGCATATAATTAAGGATTCGACATTAAGTAAATGTCGTATCAGTTAAAAAAAAGGCAATACAAAAACTTAGTTTTCTCTTCGGTTTACTTTAATCGTTCGATCATTTTAAACTTTTCCGGTAGGTACAGGGGATAATAGAAAAACTGCATCCTGAAAATTCTCTATAAATGCACGCACTCCTTGAATGCACGCTTTGGTCCGGTTCTAGGGTATCTAAACATACTCTCTAAATGCACGCTCTCTATGCATGCATGATTTTTATCCGTGTGTACTTTGTTTTTCATGAATTATATGCTCAAATTCGAATACCAAAAGCAATCAATTTTTCAAAATTTGACCAATTAAATCAATTCATGCATGTTCTTTCTACTTCAAGACCCAAATAAAACTAGTCAACGTGTGATACTTTCTCTTTCTGACCCCCTTTTTCCATCTTAAATATGAGGTATTATGTCAGACAAGAGTTCTTTTATTTGAACTTAATTTTAATTTTCTCTTCACTAATTATTAATAAATTTGAAATATTGTGAATGTGTAACAAAGCATGCATGATGGTTATTCTTTTCTCGCATGGCTGCGAGTACTGTGTGTGTTTTTCAAAAACTTGTATGGATAAACAATCAATGCACAGGCATTTTCTGTCTTCAATGCTGTTAGCAACTTTTTATCCAAGCCTATGTTCAAAGTAATCTTTGACTGTCTGTTTACCTACCACAGTATCGTATATTGATGCACTTTTTCGCGTCATTAGTTTACAAATTTCTGACTAATCATTACGCTAATTTCTGATATAGTTTAGGTTATTAAAATTGTCCGAAATGCCAAATGATTACATAATGTAAACTGCAAAACAGTATTAGATTGCATTTGGGATGTGTAGTTTTTTTTTTTGCTTATAGAATTCTTCGATGGCGCTATCCGTACTTCTAGCATGTGCTTCCAGTCACGAAAAAGAAATAAAAAAACTCACTTCCGAAAATTTAAGGTCGCATGATCCTTATATAATAAAAGCGAAATTCTAATATAATCGGAGTACATGTATTCGAATATATCACTTAGCAGACAAGTAAAAAATAATCTCATAAGACATCGTAATATAGTACAAACAATCGAGCACAAACAAGAATGGGCGTATCTTTTGTGGAATTACGCCATTTACATGTACCTATTTAAACAATAAAATATTTAATAAACTGATATAGATGCTACGTTAAGGACGTGTGAAAAATAACTGGACAATAAAAATGTTGCTAGTTAGGCGTAATATAGAATGCACAATACATTTTATCTAATCCGAATCACGTTATTTCGAGCTAATAATGAACCTGTTTGTTGACGCTTTGTGCCTCATGAAAAATCCGTTTTATTTTTTGGTCAATCACATTTTCAGGATAAAATATTGATTTCAACCTGTTATACCCAACTATTCGAGTTTGAGCTTTTTTTTATATGTAGTATCCGATATCGGGCATATGTCGCACGGGAATAATTCCTATTCTGGGCTATCGTTGTCGATAAAAAATGCTGCTGTTTTATGTAAACAGTAATGACATTTACGGTGCATGTTTATTGTACATGTAAATATTCTCAAAATCAAATATACGACTGGGGATAACGATCATTTTTTCTCGATTCTGATATTAACACGATGATTGAATCGCTACTATGGTGCAAACAGTCTAAAGACCATCCAATAATTTATCAATATTTTTAAACTGTAAAGAAATTTTATTTTAAAATATACATGTACATGGTTAACCATCAAAACAATAGCTTTTGACATGTTCTATAATATCAATTTTAATAGCAAATTTTCAGCGTCCGATATATCACGTGCGATATCTTTGATTGGCTGAATTTCAACATGTAAAATCACATAACGATTTTTTTACAATTTAACATTGCATATAACTTCTTCAAAAAAATAAAAATTCAGCAGTGATGCTGTATTTGATGCGGCTAAACAATTTGCATCATATAATAAACTAATTGACATAGTTATATTATATAACTAAGGCTCTATCAAGCAAATATCCAGAGGAAAATTTTCAAATGTCATTTTAGTTTCATCCAAATTTCTCTTAATCATACATTCTTA